TGAAACACAGGATAGTTATCACTCTAACAATAACATTGATAACTCATTAACAGAGTAATCTAAAAAAAAAATTCTCATATTGCGTAGGTGTTATATTATAAACAATCTAAACTCACAGCATGTGGTTATCCAAACGGCATTAGTAACAGTAAGCCAGCCAAAAAAACTACTGGAGGAAAACTGCTGTATATGAACTTATGCAGTCCAGTGCAGTGTTGCAATATTTAACCAGTAAATTATGAATATATGATTAACTATAACTTTAATTTGTAATTAATTATTAGGTCATTCAAAATTGAGGGTAAAACCATTAATTTATTATTGATTGAATGATAATTACTGTAACTCATTCACCATGTGCTTGCACTTTCAGATCAGAGTTAAGACTCCTGGACTGGCTGTTTAAAATCTATCCATCTATTTTCTGACACGCTTTATCCCAACAATTAATGCAGAAATCTTAAATACAATTAAGCAGTTTTGTTGCATTCAGTTTACAGTGGGTAGTGATGATGGGTCACAAATCCAATAAACAATACAGCATTGCAGCAAGATGGTTAGCTTAGATAACAATTAAGACCCAGCTAGGCAGTGGAACTGTGATTAGACAAAGATTCATAAAACCACAATATGGCTGCCTCTACCATATGGTCAAATACATTGTTGTTAACAGTGCTTGGAGGCACAATGGGTCATCAAACTCATAAAATGGCCGCTTCTATCATATGACCAAAAGGAAGTGGTGGGGCTGATAATGCAGGGACACGCAATGGGTTGTAAAACTCATAAAATGTCCACTCCTAGACCATGTGACCACAACGAGGCATTAAAAAGGGCCCACAATGCTATCAGTTCACCTTCAGCACGTTAACTTCAAGACAAAAAGAGAAAGTAATCCAGTTGCAGCTAGTCACACTCATTCATACACACTTCATGAAACCATTTAGAAATCTGTAATATCAACCATCAGCTTTAAAAATAAAGTGTCTCAATAAAATGCATGCAAAAATCTAGGCATGCCAAAGCTAAAGCACCTAAATTGAGCATCAGATGGGAATAAATGGAAGAAGTTTTTACTGAGCCCCAGTCCAAGAGAGATTGACAGTCATGTTTAGCTTCTTCCGATTTCTAATGATTGATCCAACAGTGTACGTTTTTTCACCAAGCTGTTTAGCCATTTCCCCGTAGCCCTTTACAGCCTTTTGGAGGTGTACAATTTGGTCTCTACTGCCTTTTTACAGCTCTTTGGTCTTGGCCATGTTAGTAGTTTGATTCTTGGGCTGGGTCCGAACGTCCGCCCTGATCCCTTAATCCCTCAATCACTATATGGAGCAAGGACTATGCAGTGGACTTTATAGTAAACTCAGTTAACTGACCATTCGGACAGATGATCACTACTTTTCACTCCCTGTTGGTCACATGACTTTGCCTCCCTGCATGGTGCCTGCTCCATCTTTGTTGGTTGTCGCTGCTCTCAGGTATGGCGACAGCGGGCCGCTGTGACAACAAATAGCATAATGCATAAAGCATTAAGGTCTGAATTCTAGCTTATTCTAGATAGATGTTCTAATACTTATTTGCAGCTGTATCATACAAATAAATAGTTGAAAAATCATATATTGTGATTTCTAGATTTCTTTTTTAGATTATGTGTCACACAGTAAGCATGGACCTACGATTACAATTTCAGACCCCTCCATGATTTCTCAGTGGGAGAACTTGCAAAATAGCAGGGTGTTTAAATATATATAGTATATATGTATATATACTATATACATATATACTATATATGTATATAATTATTAAATATTTATTTTTTTAACTCATATGAAA